TGGACTAAATGACCTTTAAAGGTCCCTTCCAACCCAAGCTATTCTATGATTCTATGATTCTATGAATCTGTGCTTCTGTAATGAATGTAGACTATTCCAAGATTACTGTTTTCTAGACTTCATATTTATTTCTATTTTAGCAAAACAAACAGTCATCTAAGCTTTTTCCAGAGGTTGAATGACCCTAGATTTTCCCCTGAAGAAACATTACTGTTTAATTTATTTGTCTCTTCTCAGGAAGAGACAGTCCTAATCCTCTGGCTGCGGGGACTAATGATGATTTAACAGTATAACTCAGCAAAAAAATGTGCAATGTAAAAAGCTTTTAGGTCAGAATGATGTGGCAAACATTCCAGCTATTCAGGGCAGCATCCTGGGACTTACTCCTTTGCTAAGGTAGAGTAATAATAGCTGAGCAGCAGCATTGTTAGGATTAGTATATAAGTGTAGTTGAGCAAATCCTTTTCCTCATTCCTGCAATTTAGGGTGACGTGCACAACAAACTATTAAAAGCACATACTAAATGAATACCTCATATATATGGATGCCTTAGAATTGAAATAAAGCTGTTCAGATCCTTACAGGACAGGAGGGACTTTTAAAGAACTGAAATATGGCTCACAGAAATGTTAAGTCAGAATGTCAGGAAAAAAGCCTCAATTTTTTTAATTTAATTTACTCACTTAGCATCTTCTTTCCCATCATTGAGCTGGTGCTGTTCCTGTTGAATTGTCTTAGCTGGTTCAGCTGATTTTTCAGTTTTTGAAGGCTCAGGTGCTTTTGCTAGTACTGTATCTAGAAAAAAAGGTTTTAATTTTTGAATACCAATTTTTAAAGAATTATGATAATACTTTTGGAGGAATCACAGCTTGGCTGCCATTATTCCTCCAGTGGATAAACACGACATGACACTGACTCTGGGACCTGACTTTTGAATAATTTTCTGCACAAATCTATTTCAGTGCCAGCTGTACAGAACATGTTTATGATGAATGTACCTTTTAGAATATGTAACTTATTTGTGGTTTTTAAACCAGATGCATCTGTAGCAAGCTCAACAGTGGTCAATACAGAACTCTTCTATATTTATAAGCGACAAGAACTCATGCAGATAGAATTTTAGTGTGTGCTTATTTAAAAAACTATGTAGAAAACAGATAGATAGATCTGTCCAGAAATGCCTTGTGAAATGCAGGAAGAAAAATGAAGAGTAGCTTATTTGCTTATGCATAGCAAATGCTAATGACATTATTTGTACTCCAGTGTTTGAATTACATTAAACCTTTTGTTGCTGCAGCTGCCGTGACAGTCCTGTTTGTTTCTGAGTAAATTATGGTTGAAATATATCATTAAGGATGTGAGTAAGTAGAACTTTGGCTAGTCTATTTCTTCATTTTTGTTACAAGTAAATTTTTTAAAGGAGTTTAAGTGGGACGTTTGTAGAGTTTGAAACAATCTGTGTGCAAACAGTATTGTCTCTTGCCATTTAAGTGGGCTTATGTGATGAATTTTTACAATTAGTCCTATACCTTTATTTTAAATTTTCACGCTCAAAAATGATTTGAAAGCTCTCTTCAGTCTGACACTTTGCATAAAGAGGAACAAACTCACCCTTCATAAATACTGTAAGTAACATGATTATAGAGGGAAAAGATTGACAGCAAAACATCATAGCAAATAAATCAGGAGCCTGTTATGTATGCTGTATTTTAAATTCAAGACAGCTCAAAGAAAATCAGACCTTGAGTATTTTGGATAGACAGTGTAAGATTAGCTTTCTGATAGTTAATCTCCATATTCAGAGAGTTGTTACTCATTTCAGAGGGGTAAAAGCAGTTACAACAGTAAATTGTTAAGCTTGCTTAGCTGGAAGGTGGTTGCTCGAAATGGCGTTGAAACAAAACTTAGTGAAGGACAGTGGGTCAGTTTGTTTACAGCACTTGATAAACCAAACTACCCTCCTACCACCATTTATTCAGATTTGGGATAATATTTTCTTCCAGGCATCTATTAAAGAACAGACACAATGTTTCTTGAGCTGAGTTTCAGACTTTTACCAGATGGACAATTGATTACAGGACCAGTGGTGCATTTCTAGTATTTTTTCTTAATATTTAGGTTAAGAAGCAAGAATGCCCTGTGTGAGCCCTGCTACTCTTACAGGAATTCGTTTGTTAAACAGGATCAAAGACAAGACCTAGACAGAGTTATCTGTGGGTACCAGAAATACTCAAGCCAAAGTCAGACAAGGAATTGAAGAGAAGGGAAAGAAATCCATGTTCCCCAACTTGCTGGTCAACTGGATTTTGACTTAGCAAGTTTAGGGGTTAATTTTCAAATAGTCCCTTGGAGAAATGTAGCACTATTGAGTATGAAGAGACAGTCTGCAGGATTTGTATTACTTATCACTTGTAAGCCGGGAAGATTTTTGTGAGGAATTCCATTTAAAACTCTGACATTCGATTGGATTTATAGTTTAAATTGATAACAGTATCTTGACCACGTAATGGAAATTTGTTTCCTTTCTGCAGCAAGTCTGTTGAAAATATAACACTAAGGAATGTTTAATCTTGCCTGAAAGATGTGCCAGGGAATTTTCAAGGTACAGAATAGCACACATTCAGGGAAGTGAGGACTCCAAAGAGGACTGTTGCTGCTCCTGTCCCCAGGAAGTTTCAAGAAAGGATGAAAGAGTTTCTTACCATTTGATTACAGGGGTTCAAAATGCTTTTCTGGGAGTTTCAGTCAAAACCACTGTTTTTTAGAAAGGAGGAATTTTAAAATAGGTTCAGAATTCTAGCACCGTGGATACATTCTCATAGTGAAATAAAATTTATTTCTCCTAGGAATTTCATAGACATCCCCTGTAAGAAAATTGCACAGGAGCTGCAGTTACAGAAAATAAAGGGGTTTTGAACCTATTTATAACTGACTAATTTGTGGGTCTTGCTACTGAACCTTAACCTGTTAAAATTCTATTTAACCCTTTCCCCAGGGGATGTCTACAAATGATGTTACCGACTCTGTGCTTTCCTTGGCACACAATCCTTCTGTGGTTTCGTGGTCAACATGACATGATGTAGAAAGGAAGATGCAAGAGCCAAAAATTTCAGCACTTGCTGCAGTTTCTGCTCCCTTCTGAATTCATGGTTTGTAGTTTCCCAGTTCTCCCTTCCCTGACTCCCGCAGCCAAAAAGCCATGTACTCAAGAGTGACAGCAAGGCTAATCTCAACATTTCTGTAATTATCTCACTTTGGGAATTTTCTTTGTTATAGTAATTGCCCCTAGTTACATCTATACTAGCAGAGAATACAACCTGATAGGAACAATCAGAACAGTGAAATGGTGCTGAAGGCCTGGCGAAGCAGCTGTATTTCAAACCAGGTCTATTGTGTTCTTCTGAAATGAATGACCATCAGCAGCTCGAGTAAAGTAGGTTGACTCACAGAGTGCTTCTTCTGGTTTAGTTTTATTCTAAAGGAATCCAATCATGTATTCCTAGAGGTTTTTTGGTGAAAAAAACAGAGCACTGTGGGGGACAATAAGGAGATTTGTTTCAGAAGCGCATTCTTCGTCTGAAATAAAATGCCAGTGTAGACACACTATTTAGAGTAACAGTCTCCTGAATAAGATAATCCATCTCTGGAATGACAACATGTGTATAGGAAGGGAAGACCACAAAGTAAAAAAATATGGTGCTTGCACATAAGCATCCCATTGCAGAAGGATAATGGCTTCTCAGCCTGCTAGATACTCTCAAGGTATTCAGTCTGAGGTCTGAACCCACACCAACCATTAAATGCTGACTGGACTTAGACTGATGGAACATTGTAATCCTGTGAATATTCCAAACTTCCACAAGTTTTTAAAGTTCATAAATCTCCAGAACCAGCACAGGGCTTATTTTCGTTAAGATTAGGATATCACCACTTAACACCATTGCCAGCTGTGTGTCAAGTTTTAGTTGTTTCTTTCTGTGTGAAATTGTGAGGGCTGTCTGTGTAATCACATTTAAAAAACGCTAGTTGCTCTTCACTGTTTAAATCTAGCTTGTACCCCTCTGACTTATGAGACCAGACCCAAAGGAATGCCTTTAGGAACAATGTGATAGTCATTTTAGGGAACATTTAGAGTACAACAATTGGTTTCTAGAATAAATAAAGATCCATCAAGTAGTTGGCAAGGCTTACAGGACAACAAAGAAATCTTCTACTGCATATACATAACTTTGGTCATGGTAAAGAAATCATGAGTGAGAAAAAGGAGACAGAATTATGCCAAGGCACCAACATTTAAAGCAATTTTCAAAACAGATATTCCATGCTTACTCGGCAGAATAAGGGATTTGAGTTTTTTCTAAATGATTTCCATTCCCATTATATTGGAATATAGGTAGGTAAAGCTGCCAACATATCAGCAGTGGGAGTTGAGGAACGCAGCCCACTGGTGTCTATGTATTCTAGATCATTTGGCCTCCCCATAAGAATAATATAATTTAAAATTGAATTGGAATAAGTGTTGCTGGTTCTGTTTTAAGATGGAAGGGAAAAGCGCCAGTTGTGGAAGTATAACTTTGTGGGTAAAACACTGCCTAATGGAATCCTTCAAAAAGGTAGCTGGTTAAATTGAGAGGCCCACTGAAACCTCATCATACCGGTGTTCTGCCTAGGATAGCAAGGAGCAAGGAACAAGATGCAGGTTATAAGATCGATTTTTTTCCCTCTCCTAGTCTTTCAGATTTTTCTCATTTTCCACAGGTCTTTGTTCTTCCAGGAGAGACTTAGGCCAGGCAAAAAAGTAATAAAAAAAGGACATCAGTCTTTTACCTGTGTTATCTTACTTAGGTTGACGATGATCCCAGCTGAAGGTTAGTATTATTAAACATTCATTGTTTATTCTTGTCCCCTCTTTTTGTACTTCCAGTAAAACAACATTGGAACAGTATTGCAGGATTAGGTTAGAGTATCAAGAAGATCTCTGTGTGTTGGAGGAATATATCCAACTTATTCTGAGGCTGCTCAGCTCCCTTGTTCATGTTTCCATAAAGCAGTTTTTATCTTCAGTTGTCAATTCAAAATTTTGGACAGAGACCCTTGACAGTCTTTCCAAATTCATTTGATTTCCTACAGACACGCTCCCCCCCCCCAAAACCCCCCCGCAGAATAGCCTATAGCAGAGTATTTCCCATTTTTGCAGTAGTGCAAAAAAGAGAATGCTTTGTACTTATCTATGAATTTTAAGCCTTTTTGAATGATAATTTAGGTTTTTTTTCCTCTGCAACTCAAAAGGCTGAGTGTTGGGGTTTTTATTAAAACTGTGTAATAATCACATGAAACCGGGAGTTCAGGCTTCGCAAAAAGCAGAATATTGTGAGGCTAAGCATAACATTGGAAGAGCAAAGTTGTTTTTAGTTTAAACCTGCTCATGTAGGACCAACTCCACTGTCATGTTTCTAAAATGTAGCACTGTATACACTATCCTAAAACTGTAGGCATTAGTCCTAAGGACGTTTTTCCACAGAAGAAGTTGTTGGTATAGGCAGATTTGTCAATGCCAGGACACATCACTGTAGAGTTGTCATTCTTGCCATAATCATTTTGATTCTTCTAAAGCCTTCAGTCCTAAGTGTATGTAAATATTGGTGGATCCAAAAATCTCTGTCATAGGCCTAGCCCCACAGAGATGTTGCCGACTTCTCTTCTGGCAATAGGCAATGTCAGCAAAGGACTCTAAAACCTCCTGGATCCACTGAGATAAGTGTTATCTTGTGGACATGAATATTATCAAGATCATT